ACGCCCAGCTATATCGACCGGCCACCCCGCCGCAGGTGGACAGTGGACCTCGGGCCAGGCACCCACTGCGGCCCTGATGGCCGCCCCGACTCAGCCATCGAGCGGCTGCCTACGCTGCGTGTAGCTCAAGGGCCCTGGACTCGGGTTTTCAGGGTGGCTGGGCTACCAACTTTCGGAAAATTTGATATCGGAATTAAACTGAAAGCATTAGTAGTAAAGGCGAGCTGGCGTTCTGAGTGTTGGCTGGAAACGAACTTATCAATAACTGGCTAGAATCCTCTTGAAAAAGGCACCATATTCATTGCGCATGCCCATTCTCCAGCATACAAATGCTTACTGTTCTTGGAAATTGTGAACGACTGTACTTGTTAGTTGTGCCTCCGACTGCTGCAGTCGTCGTGGAGCCCTGCGTGACCCCGCCGTGACCCGTCCCTTTGCTGGCAGGCGCAGCTGCAGCTGTCGTGGAGCCCTGCGTGACCCCGCCGTGACCTGTCCCTTTGCTGGCAGGCGCATCTGCAGCTGTCGTGGAGCCCTGCGTGACCCCGCCGTGACCCGTCCCTTTGCTGGCAGGCGCAGCTGCAGCTGTCGTGGAGCCCTGCGTGACCCCGCTGTGACCCGTCCGTTTGCTGGCAGGCGCAGCTGCAGCTGTCGTGGAGCCCTGCGTGACCCCGCCGTGACCCGTCCCTTTGCTGGCAGGCGCATCTGCAGCTGTCGTGGAGCCCTGCGTGACCCCGCCGTGACCCATTCCCTTGCCCGCAGACACAGCCGCAGCTGTCGTGGAGCCCTGCGTGACCCCGCCGTGACCCGTCCCTTTGCTGGCAGGTGCATCTGCAGCTGTCGTGGAGCCCTGCTTGACCCCGCCGTGACCCGTCCCTTTGCTGGCAGGCGCAGCTGCAGCTGTCGTGGAGCCCTGCGTGACCCCGCCGTGACCCGTCCCTTTGCTGGCAGGCGCAGCTGCAGCTGTCGTGGAGCCCTGCGTGACCCCGCCGTGACCCGTCCCTTTGCCGGCAGGCGCATCTGCAGCTGTCGTGGAGCCCTGCGTGACCCCGCCGTGACCCGTCCCTTTGCCGGCAGGCGCAGCTGCAGCTGTCCGTGGAGTCCTGCGTGACCCCGCCGTGACCCGTCCCTTTGCCCGCAGACACAGCTGCAGCTGTCGGGCCTGAACACGATGGGCTCGCTGCCGCTGCTGTCTCACGGCGGCCTCGGCTCGCCCACCTCACTGGCCGGCAACACGCCCTGCTCCACGCTGTTCGTGGCCAACCTCGGCCAGACCATCACCGAGCAGGAGCTCAAGGAGGTGTTCGGCAGGTGAGACGCCGCCGGTTGGACAGCCGGGATCGGACGGCGGGGCGGAGTAGACGCCATGCTGCACTGGTGGAAGCTCACATTAGCGGAGGCTTGCCTGGAGGCGCTGGTCTTGGTCGGGCTGTGCTTCGAACCCGTGGTGTGACTCGGCATCCCCGGCTGTCAGTCGCACTAACTGCCAGCAAACTCACCGAGCAGCCGCCTCAAGAGCCGGCAAGCCTGCAGAGTGGCATCTCACTGGTTTCCAAACTTACCCAACATCCCGTTTCCCGGACAGATAATCCCACAGACACAACACAGCCCACATCGACATCTACGAGCCTGTGTTTCATTTCTACTCAAATCCGCGTTTTTCACCTAAAAACATTGCCTCAGCTAAACAGCAGATGCTGCCGGGCCCACCGCTCGGCGTCAGCTGACTGGGGCGTCGAGAGGCGCTGGTGAGCGGGCTCACCCTACTAACTGGTGCAGTCCACCCGGCGCGAGCACCCAGCTGACGCACCCTGTCCTGTGCCGCTCACAGCTTGCCTGGGTTCACGCGGCTGCGCATGCTCACCAAGGGCGGCTCGCCCGTCTCGTTCGTCGAGTACCAGGACACAAACCACGCGGCCGTCGCCATGGCGATGCTGCAGGGCTTCGTGTTGTGCCCGGACCGAGGCGGCATTCGAATCGAGTACGCCAAGACCAAAATGGTGGACAACGGTGAGCAGCGGTCTGTGGCGTCCCATTTGCTGGGTTTTGACGAAGCTGTCTGGTTGAAATGGCAGATCGCAAACCAGCAGCATAACAAAGGGCAGGCACATGGAGCGTGGCTGCTCTGTGTTTGAGTGCCCATTTGTCGTATGTCCGCCGGTGCGCCGCGCGCAGGGGTAACCCACCCTGAGTTGCTCACTTTAGTGAGGTATAGCAACATTATTCTATTGACCGTCCTTTGTAATAAATTATATTAATGGATATTTTTTGTATATATATATATATATATATATATATATATATATTAATGTGTTGTAATCATGACAGGTCTTTGATACGGTGCACTAATACGACAGATTTCATTAACCGCCTCTGAAAACCTCCACCCTGCCACCCCGCAGCCGTGGCATTGAGCAGCATCCTGTCAGAACGACGGCTGGATGCGTGCTCAGTTCGGTCGGCTGAGTGCGCCTCCATCACCACATCGTTCGGTTTCAGGGACCCAAGATTAAGGCTGACCAACATAGTGCTGCAGTGAGCGGGCGGCTGACGACGAATCTTCTCCGCCGACCCGAGGCTCCTCCTGGTGCCTCCGCCGGCCTGAGGCTCTTGTTGGTGCTCCTGCCGACCCGAGGCTCCCCCCGGCTCCCCTGCCGGCCTGAGGCTCCTCCTGGTGCAGAGGCCGGGCCGCCGTGTGCGTCCATCCGACCCACGGCTGCCGAACATCGACAGCTGCGGCTGCAGCTGCCGAACGCCGCCAGCCGCAGCTGCTGCGTCTGCTGCCGGCTGCGTCCGACTGTTAGTCTTTCAGGCGCCAGGCGGAGCCCTCAGCGTCTGCGCGGCCGTCGGCGGACCCCGACCGGGTCGGGCGCGGGCCGGACCGATTTCTGGCCTTGCATACACGCTAACATATCAATGCCGGCCTTGGACTACTATAGACTGATGCTCTGTAAAATTGTATTTTCTGTATGGGCGTTCGTTACAATGCCGTGTCGAACTTGAAACCACTGTTGATACGAATGAAGTGACGTTAGGTAAGCTTATAACGTGACTTCCATGTATTTCGCAATAACCCACAGATTAACTGGTAACCTGGTAGAGTTTTGAGTAGCTCGCAGCTAGGAAAAGTGCCTCAGAAAATAAGGGTGTACTAATTCAACGTTTTGGATTTCCACCGCACATCATACGGACTATCTCGTAGTTTCCCACCAAACCTCAAGCTGTTTCATTCCATGCTCCTCGATTTCGGAAAGTCAAAAACAGCGCATTTCCCGCTCTTCGGCGATGGAGAGCTTGCTGCCGCTTGCTAGCTGCTAGTGTTCCCGTCACCACATGCTGCTCTCTCTCGAAGCCCAGCGCGTTTGATTTCCCCTCAACGCCAGCAGACCACACTCACATATCACTCCATGAGCCCATACTTATCGAAGCCTTAAAGCTGTCCGCTTGGAGCTGCAGTACTGGGACCCATTGGTCGCACGTCCTCTCTGGTCCGTGCGCGTCGGCTGCCCTCGCTCGCGACGCAGCCCACCCAGAGTGCCGCCTGCCCCGCCGGAGCAGGAACTGGCCGGGCCAGACGTCTGGTCCGGCAGCGGCGCCGTGGCTGGCAGCGGAGGGCCGGCGGGACGGCGACCTGCCGGTCCCGCCGACTCGTCTCCGGTCACCGGGCCGTCCCGCGTCCTGATTCCGTCCACAGTAGCTGCAGGGCGCGGCCGGCGCGGCGCGCGCTCGTCGGCCGACCACAGACGTTTGTGATATAGGGAGGCGCGGCCGGTGTGAGACGCCGCACGCAGTCAGCCGGCCGCGGGCGGCATCGACCGCGACGCAAAGGTCAGACGTGCGGCGCGAGACCGGCCGGCCAGCATCGATCGGCGCGCCGGCATCAGACACATTACCGATGGACGCCGAGCGTTGCCTTAAAACTTGATATCTTCGGCTGGTAGGTATCTGCAAGGCCCGTATGTGGATAGTGTTTGTAATTGCCAGCCGAGTGGTCCGCGTGCTTCGCTGGGACGGCGATGACAGCGCGGCCATGTAATATTAAATTGTAGGTACGTTCCCTTTGTACCTTACGGAAACCCAACATATCAGTCGTCTCCCTCCGAGGTAGCTAGACGGGTGCAGACCTTGATGGAAGCCGTGTGCGCTTGCGTTGCGTCTGCGGGTGGATTTCGAATCTCATGCGGAAATCTCGGCGGATGTGCGCGCTCGCGAGGTGCTCCGTTTGGGGCAACACGCAGCGATAATGAGCGATGCGCGCTACGCTCCGAGGCTTTTGATAGTCCTGCTCATTGATCAACACTGAATAGAGGCCTTCACTTGGGAAATTCATGCATATCAACCTGCCTGTCCCATCGATGCAAGGACGTGCTGCGAGCGATCTTGTGTGTCTGTGTGTGCTTGTGTGTCTGCTTGCTTGTGTGTGCGTGTGTGCGTTGTGCACACGCCTTCGGGAGTATGTGAAGCATTCCAAACCTTTCATTTGGCGCTGGTTTGCAATTCAACGCTGCTTGCAGTAAGCTTTGAGCATTCCAACCTTTCAAAAGGCGATACCTTCATGTACATTACCTAGTAGACTAGTGCGGAGTTCATCGCAAGTGCATCGCAAGTAAGGATCCTCCTGTTAAACCAGTTAACTAGAGGCTCGCGCGCACCGCTGAGTTTGCCATGTAAATAGGTAGCGGGTGTCGACTTGAAGTAAGACGTTATTATTCTGAGTGAGAGGTCTCAGAAGGCTGCATCCCAAAGAGTTTAAGTTGATAGTCACTGGGCGCTACACATCTGTAATGCGACGAGTGCGAGTACTTCACTTGTTGAGACACGGCAATGACACGCTGTTATGGTGCACCGCATCCATTTTATTTGCTTTCGTAGGTGAAGTAGCAGATGATATTATCAATATCCCGAAGTAGCAGCCCATATATGACCCGGCGTGTTCCAAACATTTGACGCCTGTGCCCCACCCCGCCCCTGTGACTGTCAACAGCCACAGTCGTCCCAGCAGTATGACTCTGGTGGCTCCGCAGGCTCTGGAGGTGGCCGCCAGAGTAGGCGTTCCAGCTCGGAGTGTGTTCTACACTCGCTACCTCCCGTGAAACAGCACTGATGCCTCGAGCACTAGCGAACTATTCTCGAACCAATTTTAATATTTTCTTTTGATTCGTTAAAAAACATATTTTCATGCATTTGGGTCTTGCATACTTGATGTCCCGATCCTGCAAACATGCGCTAAGTGATCAAGACATGTCTTTAATTGCGTCACGGTGTTGAGACCAGCTGCGTTGTGATTAGATCGATATAAGTTACGCTTCGATATCACAAATATTCCATTTGTTTCTCTCCACGTGAAAACGTAATTTGACATGTCATAGTACCTTAGCCTAGTCAATGATTGTCGGCATGTTTGACCTAGTTTTGTAATAGGGTTCAAGATGGTGTGAAAGGCGGCTAAATACACATTGTTGTACCAACATGTTTTAGCAATCAATTGTGAAAACGCACACGAAAGGAAGGATGCCGTTTCGTCGATCACTTGGCATAAACATGAACGTCGTCCAGAGGAGCGGCGCATCCAACATGCTGCTAGTTTCGTCGAAAGTCGAGAGAAAAACGGGAGTGAAAGACTCCGTCCGACGAATGCAAGAAAGGATTGCTCGGAAGAAATGCGCTTTCAGAGCTGTCCGTCATATGTCATGACTGCCGTGATGACTGATGATGTCATTGACTGATGGTCGCCGTCTTCTGCGACGTGATTCATTGGTTGCCTGGAACACAAACCACTGAGTGTGTCATTCGCATTAGAACTTTCGAAGTCGTTTAATAAGAGAATTAATGTGAGTCAGTGGGGTATAACGAGCCATCGGATTCTCACTTGCTTTGTAGAGGGCGGTGACGTCGCTGGTGCCCGAGATTTAAACGCTGCGCGGTCGCTAGCCGCAGAGACATCGGACATCGTCATACATATAATGAACAAACTGTTAGCGAGAGGCGCATATGACCAGCGAGCCAATTAAGCAGAATTTAATCGCAGATATTATGCTGTGCCTTGCAAGCCTATCCCACTATTCATGAAGAACAGTGCAAAGACATGGGAAGTGGAAACGTGCACAGTAATTCCACTAGATATCACGGCTGGAGCATCGGGTTTTCTTCGTATCGATAAGGAACAAACTGTTAGCGGCAGGTGCATATGTCCGCTTGACCAATCGTATGGCATTTAACGCCAAATATAATGATGCGTTAAGCCTATAAGGCCAACCATAACGATGAAATCGGCGTTGAAATTGTAAACCCTTACGCGAGATCTGCAGCAGAAGTGGGCGGACGGGACGTCGGATTGTCTTTGTACAGATAATGAAGAACCCGTAAGGGGTAGATCCATACAGCCAAGGGACCGAATCCGTGAAATTTAATGGGAAGCTCGATGTGCTAATCACAAGTAGATAAACCTCGTGGTCAAATTCAATCAGTGTAAAAAGCGAAAACAAGCACCCGTGGGCTGTTGGAGATTGTAGCCTGAATATCGGGCTACCTTCTTACCAGTAACAAGTAGATCATTACTGATACGTGAGTATATCTGTGAAGCGCTCAGGTGTAATTAAAGCGTAAGCATGTGCTTTGCGAGCTAATATTCAGCAAAGCCGTCAAAAATCCATCCGCGAGGGAAGTGAATACGCCTACGTGGGGGTGCGGTTATACTAGGGAGGAGGAACAGCTCAACAGGTTTCCTAAAATTAAGCATTCATTGCATGGCCTTGACCGGAAAAGCAACCAAAATGGCCTTCGTGCCCCCCCCCCCCCCCAACCTTACCAACTTAGAACTTCCGTCGCCCCTGCGCCTATGTGGGAGACGGCACACATATGCTACGCTCTGATCGTAAAATCCTTTTTTTACAAGTATAGGCAGCTCGGTGTTACGTAGAGCTGTATGAAACAAGGAAAGCCCATATTTTGTTACGAAAGCCCATGTCTTGCTAATTTTGTTGTTGCGGAAGACTGAACAAGCCAAAACATAGCCAGCCATGAACCAGATTCACATACGCGCGCGCATTACCCATTATTTGTTTGGATGTGCTGCCATTTTTGCCCTTCTTGCCCCTTTGATTGGGTGTGCTGCCCTAACAGGCTATGCCCAGGGATGGAGTAAATGCAATTAATGGAGCACACTGCCACCCGTATACACACAGAGATTCATCAGTTGTACAGCTAGCGCTGTTCTGGCTACAAACAAAGTTATCACAGATGCATTTATCGTGTATCGTTCGGTTTGGCCGTCCAAAATTCTACCTGCATGCCAGTTTGACGTTAAACATAGCACCGCACATGAACGTTTTACGAACGCAACGTACGTAGGTCGACACTCACGGTGGCTGAGCAGGTAGATAGAGAACGAGCGAGGAACGAGCGGGGGAAAGAGCGGAACGAGCAGACAGGGAACTGTCGGTCCCGTGAGCACGTGCGGACCGAGTATGGATGGCCTCGCAACAGGCAGACAGAGCGCGGCGAAATGAAGGCGGGTACGAACCGAACACGGCCGGCACCGAGGGCGGTTACAGACCGAGCGCGGCGGAATGCAGATACCGGGCACGGACCGGACGCGGCGCATCGGGCGCATCAAGCGCGAAAAATAGCTGCAGCAGACAACAGACTCTACACGCTCGCCATTCATTCGCACCGCTAGCCGCGGCACAACCTAGGGCGCGAGGCCGTGTAAGATCGGGGTGCATTGCAAAGTCCTTGCGCTTAAGGTTGTTACGGACATCATCATACTCGTCGCTAAATTGTACGCAATCGGCCAGCTGGATATATACATCTGCCACTAGCATTTTGCTCGTTTTCGGTTTAGACAGTGCGATGTTCTTGCCGCCCTGCGCCGAATGAGTGTCGCGTGTATGTCCTCACTTTTCAGGCCATTGCATTTAATGACTTGCCGCACAGGCTTGGAAAGCACAGCGTAATGATTCCATAAAATCATGCGTGAGCGGCTCTCTTGCTTTATGCACCTCCCGCCAACGGATCTTACACCGTCTGTATGAATAATTCGATGTTCCGGCTGCCTCCAGCACCGCGTCCGCCGCCTGGCGGCCCGCCACACTTTGAAGCCGTAGCACCAGTAGCGGCAGGCTAACCTCCGGCGGATATGAACCGGGGTCACCGGGGGTTTTGTCTCTCTTATACAGCCATGAGCTTGCCAAAAAAGGTTTGTGAGCTAAAGTTGTGGGAAAAAAGATAGCTTCATATCTTCCTGACTTATTTAGTCGAGTTGCCATCTTTATTCTTCCTATATGAGACCCGGCAATGTCGACGACCATGAACGTTTTCACGGAATTATGATCTATATAACTAGGATATCCCAATTAGTTTAAATGCTACCTATGTAACTTTGCGTATTTTTCAGAGTTCAAGATGGCGGCCGCCACCGTCTTCACTGTCGGTCAAATTTCAAAGTTTTATTGGGACGACTTGGAGTATCGTGGTATATCGCTTCCAAGGGTTTTCGAAGGTGGGTAGCTCATTTCTGCCGTAACTTATTGTATACGGGCCAGAGCCAAGGTCCAAATCGAAAGTCGAAGGTAAAACTTGTATGAATTATTCGATGCTACTGTAACTATGCGTTGAGGAGTAGAGACAATAAACAAGAAAAACTTCGCGTGTTCTTATCGCGATTCCCAAAAAGTTGATGAAATGCCAATATATTGACTTTGATTTTAAGTAAGACCCTGCTGTCTGGGAAGCAATGTGAGCCGAAAGACAGCTGTACCCACGCATCTGGGTGCAGGCTAAAATACGTAAAACCGCAAAAAACGCGATGAAATTACGTTTAAGTAGCTGATTGATGGCCTCTTGGGATCGAGTGAGATCGCTTACGTTCAGTGGGGATGACTGATCTACATCCTGCCGACGCTCAATACCATGTGCCTTGTAACAATCATTTGTGTGCTGTTTCTGTGCACCACCCCTCTATCAAGGCGCCTGCCCACATCCTCCCGGTCGGGTGCTCTCGGGCTGACTCCAAATAGTCTCTCAGCTCCTTGTGTGACTTGTTGCCATTAACTACAAAATCCACAGCACCACGACGCTCATGAGGCGGCAGCCCTTGGGGCGTTGATTCATGTCTTCCCGTCTGCCAATCTGGTGATGCCGCCACCAAACGCTGCCTTCGTCATTGTGTCCACGAAAGATCCCCTCATCAGTGTTCTACTCAGGCCAGAATACTCATGGGAGTGTGCATCATGCCCGCATGAGTGCAGTATGAGGTAGATAGGTATGCAGTTAGCTACAAATGGGGGTCGGCTGTGAAATAAGCGTGCCGCATCCCGAGAACACTGAGAGCCCTTTCGAGACACACAAGCGTAGACAGAAGGGTGTCTGGCTGTGGCAGCGAGTCGGTCATCGGCCCGGACACCACGATCACTTAGGTTTTAGGGTGGAGCCTGCCACCAGTCGGCCTTGCTGTGCGCTGAATCACGTCCTCTTGGTTGGCTTTTCAGTCTTGTGAGCTTCCGACAGTCATGCCGCGTTTCACTGCTGACTGAACCTGACGGCAGTGGACTGAAGCCATGGCTCTTCAGCGGACAGGGCTTTTGTCGGAAGCTGAGGTGCGTTCAGATTGGAAGGCCCCTTGTGGTGCTGCAGCTGCATAACCTGGTGGTTGAGTCGCAGAGGAGGCACCTTGCCATCCCCGTGCTGCTGCAGAGGCTGTACTTAAAGGCGCAAATACCTACCAAGAGCTGAGAGACTACCTGAAGACAGCTAAATAGAACAGAACTATGTGAGTGAAATGCCTCTTCAAGTCTTCACTGCTTGCGCCCATGCTCCCCGTGTAGGGCGGAGTGATGTCTTCCTCCTTCAGCAGCCCTGTCTCGAGGCAATGCTGCCGTATTTTTCCGTGGCAGATCACCACAACTGTGCTCGCTTACTGAGCTGACATGTGGGACAGAGGAAGTACTTCCCCAGCGTGCCAAGGAGCAGCTACTGGCGGGCGCGAACGCCTGGCGACACTGACGAGATCGCAGTAACAGCGGATCAGATGTTGGTTGACCTCGGT